AGAGAGAGAGAGAGAGAGAGAGAGAGAGAGAGAGAGAGAGAGATATCATATTTTGTTCTACTTCAGCTCAAAAATACTTTTGAAAGAATATAGTCAATGTTATATTCAATTACAAAAATAAAATGTACTCAGAAGACTCCTACTCAGAGTAGAATGTGTGTTTATTTATAGACTGTAGTATGTCTGACTAGGTCACTTCACACTGTTGAGGGAATAATTTGGCTATTAAAATAGACATCTATCATAGGTGTGAGCTGCTCCAACAAAGGAATTTCAGTCCCTGAAGAAAATGATGTCTTATATAGCTTGTCAGAATCTGGTATTTACCTGTTGTTTAAAATAATCTTTTAATTGTAAAAAATTATAGAAGTTGGTAATTATCCCTTAATTTACATTGCTAAATATTTTCTAATATAAACAATATTAATTACTTGCTTTGAGGCTTGTTCTCCTTTAGTGTGGGGGGACTGGTTAGTTTTGTATTGGTATTGGGGTTTCTTTCTTTTTTATTCCCCCTAGAAGCTCTAACACTTGCATTGTTTGCATCTGGTCTTTTTAAGTTTGGCAGGAAGAAGACTCAGTGTACAGAGGAATCCCTGTTTTTTGTCCCATGAAATTCTGCTTGGGCCTAGTTGAGTTATAAACTGTTGAAAATCACCTGTTTCCCTTCTTTTACTTGTGTTGTTAGCAATATTTTGGAAGTGTGCAAAAATAACTGAGCGCAAACATTCTCGTCTGAGGCCAGAATTATGCCACTGTCAAAGCTGCACCAGCAGACATTTCACTGAAAACCCTAAAAGTAGAGAGCCTGGATCTATATAGAGTTAGGGTTTTGTTTTTGAGGGCGGGCTACAGTGGGGTGGGGAGTGGAGAAATTGTTAAGGCACTGAGTGGTCCTGGAATAGCCCCAGGGTCCTATCTTCTCTTCCTCCTTCTTTGGAACATTTGCACTACCACGCACATGTTCAGCTCTCAGGCTCAATGACAGGCTTTCAGGGGCAAGAGGGGAGGAGGGGTGGGGGCAGAAGCAGCCCCTATCATTCCCTAGCTAGAGAATGAGGAGACCTCATAGCACTGCAGCAATGGGGCTATGAACATGTGTGTCTCCTTAGCACTCTGATTTTGTAGCACTACGAAGTATTGAGAAGCTCTGTAGGACTTCAAATGAACACGTGTCCATAACCTGTGCTGAAGTGCCAAAACCTTCAGATGAAGCTGATGAAATCTGATGTTGATGCACTGCAGTGCAACCGTTAAAGTTACTAATAACAGAATTTGTTTTTCATCTTTTTCCTTTAAAAATAACCAAAAGATGCAGAAAACTAAATACCATTATCTAGGTTTCAAAA